TAACATTGCCAGGACTCTTGTAAGGCACTTAGCAAACTTTGCATCTGAGTGCATATCGCAGAACAAAAGTAGAGCTGTCAAGAAAAGCATTAGAGTATTTTAGATGGATTTTAATCATCGTTTAGACGTTTAAAAAAATACTGTTAAGAGATAACTGAAATCGACCATGTAAGATGACACAGCTTCTGTTTGTGCTCTCTCTCCCAGTATCCTTACACAGCACCTATTCTGTTTTTGCACACTCATGAGCTCCAATGAGGTTTGTTGCTTTGATTGCAGGTTTATTTTCTTACTCAATAAACTATGTGGAACATGACATGTTGATAAAGTAAAGCTGAAAGTTTTAAACATAGAAAATCGTTGACATTTTTTAAAATATTTTGGTAGAGGCTGATGCTTTGTTGACCAGTCCCTCAGCTCCAGTTTCATTCAATTATTTGACTTCTGGCTTTATTTGAAAGTGTGATCATTTGTTTTTTTCCTTGGGAATAAACCCAACGTTGATACAGGCAGGAATACTTAAGAAACGTAAAGCTGTCCATTCTGCCGTATTTGCCTGGGCAGATATTTTCAGCGTTTAGTTTGTCGCTGTATGTGGGGATGTGCCAAAGTTCTTAGGGCAACTGGGTAAGGTCACACACTGATGTCACTGACCCCAGTGTTTGTCTGTGAAGGACAGAAAACACTGCGAGCCCTGGGAACACATGCTCACCCGCAGAAGAGTCAGAATCTTGCTCTTATCCTCTAGCTCATTCTGTCTGCTCTTCTTCTTTTTCAATGTGTCTTTCTCATATTTTTTCATCGTGAGGTCAGTCGGCTGAGGATCCTCCTGGACATGTTTCGGGTCCACAGCCCAGAAAGCCCAAAAGTGACTGCAATCATTTGAGATGTTGCTCCTTTAAAAAAATAAAAAAAATAAAAAATATATATATATTTTTTTACAACAGACCAGATGATTACTGGCTGAATAAACTGCCTTCATTGTCCATTTCTTTCAAACACTTAGTCAAATGTCTTAGATGGACTTTGAACGCTTGCAAAGAATAACTGGACTGATATTTGACATCAATAATTTAAAGGGAAATAGCAATCATTATTTTTGAAGTCCTGCCTGAAAGCAACTGTTCGCCATGGAAATAAATTGCTGCATCTGAATGTAGATGCTCTATTATAACTTAACAGATTAATCTTGTTTTCCAGAGTTACTGTAACATTTCCTGTCATATTTGCTTTTCCCATAAAAGAGTCGTCAGTCTGTGGATGTCTGGGGGCTTTTGTTCCGATTTTGTTTAAGTAGAATAAACATGTTTGTTGTGGGCCATGAACTGTCACACAAGATCTTACTGTAGATTTCAGAAAGTATTTCCATCATTTGCATTTAAGCCAGACTGGCAATGTTGTCTGGCAGGTGGAAATGTGGGTTGGTCAACTACAGTACATTGTCATTTGAAATCCATGAATTTTTCTTTTAGAAACCAAATTTCTTCCACTTGAAGCAAGTAAGGCAAGTAAAACGCTATCTGCAGATTGCCAGTTAGCATGACAACCAACAGGGTTAATATGGTTACCAGTCAGTTACACATAATCACAGGACTTTTATGTACAAATTTGGCCTGCAGAGAGTGAGGAAGTCCATTACAGATTGCACACTCAGTACACCTTTTTTTCTCTCTGTCTCTTCACCCTTTTTTAACCCTGCTATTGTCTCTCTTAATCTCATCTGGATTCTTCCTTTCTTCTGCATTCTCGTTTCTGTTTGAGTTTCAATTTTTTTTGACAGATGTTTTATAAAAAGAGGAACAGCTGGCTGCTTTGAGGCTATTTACACATCACTTTATTTCCCTCTTTTTTGATCCTCCATTCCCTCTTTAGTTGAATCACTTTTTCTTTTTTTTCTGTTGAAGTGATCACAGATGGAGCATCCAATTTATAGCCTTGGAAAAATATTTTTGGGGGAAATAAATATTGATATATAAATTTGGCGCCTCAGCCCCATATCATGGTGTCTTTTGGCAGATTTATAAAAAAAAAGAACCTGCATTGGTGGGTGAGATGTATTTTTTTTATTGAATATTTGCTTTGGTAAAGTCTCTCTGCTGAGAAGGGACTTCACATTTAATAATGGTTTGCAAATAGCTTGAGAAAAAAACAAACAACTTAGAAATGGTAAGCAGGTTATGCATCCCTTAGACTCTTCCCCATTCTTGGCCAAGCGAGGAAGATTTTTTTTCCACCCGGATTTAAATCCCCTTATTATGCTCAAATTCCCCTCGTTTTAAACAACCAGCAGCCTCAAGCATGTGGTTGTGTATGTTTCAGTGATTAATGACTGCATTCCTGCGGCATAGTAATTTGTGCTCTGCGTACAGTATGCATGTGCGTGGGATTACCAGAGGCAGTTTCTACTGTGCCCATCTACTTAAGAGAACATTATATAACTTGAAAGCCATCATTTTACCAGATGCATACATGAGTACGTGAACATGTGACCACATGGCCACAATGAGGGAACCTTTACACTGTACATGTGGAAGCACATTTGTGTGACAGACAAAAGGCACATGTGCACATGTGTGTCCTTTCTTGCAGTTTCCAAAAGACTAAAACATGTAGGAAGGGTAAAGATTGAAGTAAAGGAAAGAAATAAAGATTGAAATTATATTTATACATTTTAAAACTGTATAGTTGTCCCTGATACAACAAGCTATGCAGAAATATACATTTTGCTGAGTTGTATGCTATATTGAGACAGTCATTTTAGGTTGGGATGTTACAAAGGCAAAGGATGATAAAAAACAGAGGAAAAAACAAATGACGGTAAGTAAAAGTGAAAGACAATGCAGGCACAGTGTGTTGATTTCAAAGGTAATGTCAAAAAGCACAAATATGAACACCGAGAAGAAAGAAGTGGGGGAGGTCACAGAGAGGACATTGTGTAAACAGATCTTTCTTTTGCCAATACTTGTGCCACTATGTGTGTTACTATAAAAGCAAAAATCTATCTCAAGATTTTTGACAACTTAATTCTCAGGCTTCCATACGGATTGTTTCTATTTGTTGTGTTTGTTGTGTAGTATCATTCAGCTGACCCTTATTTGACTCATTCAAATTAGTTTGTGATATAACCATCATCATTGTTATTTCCATGTTCCATTGACATCGATGGTTTCAGCTTCACATTTAATTCCCTTTTGAAATAAATGATTTCTTCTGGTTACAAGATAGTGTGTCAAACAATCGGCCCAGCATTTAGCCTTAAACCACACACACTATCTTTTCATGGTTTAAGTCCATTTGTGCTGTAGTCCTAAAAATATCTGTATGTGTTTTATATAAAAGTATAAGGGAATAAGCCAGACAGAAAAAAATATTCCTATTGGTCCGAAAAGTTTCAGCTGGGGTTGATGTGTGTGCCAATGGAAATTGTCAGTCCTTCAAGGCTTTTTGAGTTTGAGAAAAACTAGCACCAAATGTTTCTTTTTAAGTCAGAATCTTTCCTTGAAAGGCTTGATATACTGTCCCCTTAAAAAAAGTTTGTTTAATTAGATTGGAAATATAATTCTTTGTCAGTATGTGCTGTATTCATTCAATATTATGGTAGAGATGTGTTCAGTCAAGGTTACAAAAAGCAGTTGCAGCAATGTGTGAGAAGAATGAAAGGAAAATATTCAAAGCGAAGATTAGATGTCAGGGAAAGCACACGTGCTTTATTTTTTCGCTCAAACTCAGGAACTCCAAACACCTGACTGCACCATCATTCAGTCACACATATGTGCAGTGGACAAATCATTCCTTTGTTCATGACTAATTTCTCTGACTGACTGAGCAAGTTGGATTTTAAGACAGATGTTATTCTGTGCTTTTCACCTCTGATGCACACAAGCAAGCAGAAACTTTCTCTGGCTTGTGGTTATTTATTCACTCCCACAGTCTGATGCAAGCATTTTGTATTTGTACTTCTGGGCCCAACCTACATGGATACATCATATGGACACGAATTACACCGACTACATTTATGAAACAATATTTCAGTTGAATACCTTTCTGCAATATGTGGCTGGATGCAGACTCTTCATTGTTTTTAGACAGCACTCAGTCTCACAAGAAACTGCACTTGCATGATAGCCAAGAGAGCTAAAAGAAATTTCATAGATTTGAGTTCTGTTAGATAACTTCAGGGAATGTAAATGATTGGGTTTTGTTTAATCGGCTTAAATCTTCCTTGATATCATATAATTTTTGGAGACAGTATGACAAGCCAGTTTCTAAGCCAGGATGGCAGCCTCACAATAGTTGCCTGCTTAGCCTGACATCACATTTGCACAAAATGTTAATTTTCATTGTCAAATTTGGGTTAAAAAAAAGAAGAAGAGACAAGAAAGAGAAAGTTAGACATACAAACAGAAACTGAATCAAAGTACATGAAAGTGTAATGGGATACAGGGCTGGATACAGGATTTTAGTTGCTAGTTCCACATTATCTGCAAAAAACAAGACCGAATGGTCCATACAAAAGACACATTTTCAGTGACTCTAAATTTAACAACCACTCTACAAACTCTCTCTTAAGCATTGTAACCTTAAATTGGCTGACTTAATTTCATGCTTTCAAGCTGGTTAGTGGAGTCTGACAAATGATCAGACCACGCTAAGCACTGTGTTTATGTTTTAAAAGGTTTTCTAAGGACTGGTTCAGTTATAGTAATTGGATGATACATTGACATCAGATGCTGATCAAGAACTTTCAGCAGTCGGACCTTGGTACAAATTTAGGTTTACTGCAGTTTTTCATGCTGAACACAATCGGGGTCTTTGTGTCTCTGAGGTGACAGCGGATTGTAATGTACTCCAATGAAAGACAGTTGGTTATACGTCTATACATCTGTAGCTTGATCGCTCCCCGACCTCGCAAACACATATGCTCTTACAGAAATACTGTCACAGTGGGATATATCTCACACATGCACACATGATTTCACAGTGCATGCGCTGGCTTTAACTGGGAGCGATGCTTCCCCCTCTCAGTGCACACTATATCATCTCCCTCTGTCTCTCAGATGGAGTTAAGTCTCTCCCTCTTTTGAGGCACTGCTTTACTCTGTCCCTGGATACACTCATTCCAAAGTCACAGCGCAGGACAGGACACACTGCAATACAAACACTCGTCTTTTTCATCATTTACAGCTGGAAGTAGGTACCATTCTTATTCTTGTGTTTTGTTCATCGGGAGTATGTATAATTTAACATGCAGTATGTACCTAAACCTCGGATGAAGCTTGTACTAAATCTTAAAAGTAGCAGGCAACCTCTAGTGATGTGTAGCACATCTAAAAAATTCTAATTTATCACTGAATTATTGGCTCCGGAATTGAACAAAACCATTATAAGTGAACAAAAAGGTAGATGAAACTTCTGTTCGATAGAGAATATATAGACATGTTTCGTTGATTGTTTTTTTAACATGTATCTTTTGAATGTATTTTGAACACATGTCTGTGTTTTGGACAATAAATATTGACAGAATGTAACAATACACATTTATAGATGGGATGAAATTGACAAGTAGATACAGAAAATTAGAAAGGTTAAAAACAGGGAAAAATGCTATAAAATGGGGACAAGAGGTCAAATTATTTCAGCAAACTCATTTTTCACTTAAAGTGAAACTGTGAAGCTGTACAGCTCCAAAAGAGGTCAATCACTTACATAACTAAATGAAGCCTGTGTGAACAGATTGCTGCTTTTCTACACAGCTCAGTGTTGACATTGGTAGAGTGACTGTAAGCATTTTCTCACTCATCTGCATGTCTACTACTCGTTTGGTCAGGTTTCACCTTTCCCTTTAATCACAGACATAACCTTCACCAGACAATGATACACCATGGAGATGTCTCATCAACAAAAAAAGAACAACAAGAAAAGGAATAGATTAACTGTCAGGGCTTTGCTGGAACATACAATATTCTAACAGTAGTAACAGATGGCTGACTGGGTTAATTAGCTTGGTATCTGGAGACTGTGATGGCCACTGCATTATTATATTTAATGGTTAATTCAATCTTATCAAGTCATTTGTTTAATACAGATTCAGAAATACAGAAATGTTGTTCAAGTGGTCTTCAAGTGGATTTTTTCATTCTTGACCCACGGTCAAAAGCTTAGGTTTCCCTTTTGTTTCCCTTGGTTTAATTAGGGATGAACAAAGAGAACCACATAATACACGTGGTCATAGTTGAGCCTGATTATGCCGCCAACAGCTGATGATAGAGCAGTGGTGCGTGGCTGGACAAACAAACTTGTAGTGTGTCTTCTAGGCATGTGGTTTTAATGACTTGTATGTACTGAGTGCTTTTTTTTTTTGTTGATGACCTTTTTGTGTTGTTGCAAACTGCGGCAGCACCTCTGGGCAAAGACCTTTTTTAACAAGAGGGTGAAGTTCAATGCTTCTGCTGTTAGATTATGTTTGGTTGCAGGATAAGTTGCATAATTTTTCCTTACATGAGTCAGTTGCATGTTGAGTACATTATTCCTAATTTGAATGTGAAAAAGTAGCATGGTATATCCTCATTTGCACATGAAAAACCCCAAGAGGCAGATGAAATTAAATATAAATAAGAGGATGATTTGAGGACACTCAATGTTTTCTCATGAATTATGCTTCCGAATCTAAGGGGATTGTATCGTTTTGGAATCCTTGTTTTTTACCCTTCTTTGAAGACATGGAAACATGCACGGTAAAACCCACTGTAGTTATCTGTGGAGGATGGATGTGAATCTGTGGAGGCAATGGATGTGAATGCATGACAACAGATAAGGAATCGTCACAGTTCTGTACATCAGTGGGATTTACAGTAATACAAATGACGGGGGCTCTGAACTTTCTCTCAGAAGGGTTGTGCAAGATTAATCCTAATCAGATTTTACGTCAATATTATCGTAATTTCATATAATTGACATATATTAATGTTGATGCAGGCATGCTGGTGAAGCTTCGTCTTGTACTTTTAGTTGATTGTACAGACTTAAAACATGTTAACTCAGCCAAGAGTGAGTGCTCAGTTCAGAACCTCAAATACAATAACCTTATTAGTTTAGCAGTGTGATCATGACCTATTAAAAACCCTCTGGTGTGCAGTTTTCCAAAGTTGTTAAGGATTAGGTTTACACAACATAACAAAAAATGTCAAATAGAAATCCATCAATTTCTTCCTGTGATTCCTCAGTCCACATCTTAAGAAGACCAAATGTTTGGATACCAGTTTAATAATGCATAAATCAAACTAATGTTGCAATGTCGTTTTGTTCCATTGCAGAAAAACTTTATTTGAATCATGAAAGTATAGAATGGAAATCTTGATAAATATATTTTCAACTCCTAACCAAGTGATCCCCTGTGTGTTATCAATTTTATAAGATTCTTCTTTAGGGGAGTGTTTTTTAGGTTCAGTTGTCAAAACATTGTGGAAAGTGAGCACAAGCACTTAAAGTCTTACAATGGATTTCTCTTGTAAAATTTAGTGAAAACAAAGTGACACAGTTTTCCTTTTACTTCCCTCAGAATTTGAATTTGCTCTGAAGTCACATCGGCTGTTTGGTTGGATAGACAGGTCAGATGAGGGCACAAAAGGAGTCAGAAAAGCACTTGGGGTCAAACTTAAGTTGATGCTTGACACATGTCATAGCCACTCTGGAAAAAGAAAAAGAAAAATATGTCAGAGATGGTAGAACCCATCAAACCTGGTGATCTTCATATAAATGCCAGTGACACAGTGGTAGATTCCAATTTTTAATTAAGCCTCTAGAATAAAAAAACATACTCTGAATGGTTGGCAATGGTCCAAATATGCATCACAGTCGTTTCTCTGCCTCAGAAATGCGCATTTGTTTAACAGAGTTTATAGCAAATGGATTATCAACCTTAAATTGCTATATGTTTTTTAAAAAAGACAGAGATCAATCTCTGTTTTTTAACTAATTCCCTCTCTTTCTGTTCCTCTCTTCACTTTCTTTGGCAGCTTTTCCCAGCTGTGAGTGGAGCTTTCATGGATTCTCCATATAATGGCAACGCGTCTTTGCAGACATCCACATCCAACCTCAACGCCAGCTATTCGAGACCTTCGGAAGCTGAGGATGACGGGAAGGTGTCCAGTGACACCATTTGGCTTTGGATTGCTGTACTGGCAACTATCGGCAACATAGTGGTGGTGGCTGTGGTTTGTGCCTGTGCCTTCTGACTCAGTAAGAGACCACAGCACAAATGCTACTACTGTTAGTCATGCAAAATGGTGTACATCTTGAAAATGTTTTTTTTTTCATCAACAATTTATAATAGCTCCATTTTTAAATCATGCTCTATCACTGACCAATCCAGATTGTTAGTTTAGAGGATTGCAAAAGAGCTTTCATGAGATTTTTTATTAAAACCTGTTGGCACTTTTTAAATGAACGGAAAAATCCCAAATTGGTTTATCTACCTATAATTAATCTATTTCATGCAGCCATCTGGTATACAGTTATTTTTTATGATATCACACACAGCCAAAAAAGAAAGTATGATCCATAAATTGAAAGTGGAAGATAGTTCTATTTCAGTTCAGTTATTGGAATAAATTGTAGTAAAAAAACAAACAAACAAACACACAAACAAGTCCATGCATATCCATAAAAACAAAGAGTTTAATAGAGCACACACAATACTCCTGTGCTCTAGTAGGTAATCCATGTAATACCAAGAGATTACAGTTCATTCCTTTCCAGAGCTGAATTGTGATCCTGTAGCACACCTTGTAGTGGGTGTGAGTGAACTGTTAAATTGCTGTAAATGTCTTGCTTGGAGATAATAAATGAACTACTTGACCTGCAAACATTTTCTTAGCTCATCAGACAGTTTAGATAATTTAAAACATACACATCAGAACATTCTGAAACAAAGGTCCTTAACTGACCACCTTTGACTTTACATTTACAACACATATATATTATGTATTGTGTATTATGTATTATTTCAGTTATGTATATTTTGTTCTTGGGTTTTCCCTGGGTCATAAAAAAAAGGATTTAATTACATGACTATGACTTCTGGGTTGCAGTTTATGCTGGATGAATTTGTCCTTAGATTTGCCCTTTTAAGCTAAACAACAAGTGAGGCATGCAGGCAAATTATTCTGGACCTCTGTGGATTTTTAAGTAATATTTTCCTAACAAGCACTTGTCCCAGAGCAAACCATTATGTTAATGAGCTTTGAATTGTAGGCAGACAATGAGCTACAGCTACAGAAACCTAGTTTTTAAGGTTGCTTATTGCACATATCATGCCACTCTGAAATAGACCACCAATGAAGAGATTGTTTAGCTCTGCGTAGTACACTGATGTGTTGGTGTGAATCAGGTGTGTAGGAGCAGGAAAACCTCTAAAACCTGCAGGACATTAGCCCGTAGCGGTCAGCAGTTGCCCACCACTGCTGTAGATCCTTGGGCAGATAACATATAGGTATAAAAAAAGGGGGCATTAATTCAAAGTCTTCAGGAAATCACAAAAATGTACAATATGTTCAAATGGTTTCTCTACAGGAAAATAGCATGTGGCCTATAAAAATGGTCTCCAGCTTCTGTTTCGAAAAGCTTGACTTTAAGACTGTGACAGATCCCTCAAAATGCCCAAAGGAAACAATATTATTTCCAGAAAGAAGCAGGGTTCAACTGGGCAGTAGTTTGCTGAAATTTAACAGCAGTGGCCATCACACTGGGGGCAATTGCCTTTGTTAGGGTCAGTTTCCCCATTAATTACAATACAGGCTTAAAATGGTGGTGTTGTTGCTTTCACATCACTGAGTGTAGAAATTATTTTCATTTAGCTGATGGGGGGAAATGAATTGAGGAAAACAAAAAGCAGACAGGAGAAAAGGAGTTTTATTGGAGAGTTGAAGTGAGAATATTTAAGAAAATATTCGAAAGTAAGATGGAATATACTGCAGGATATACTGTAGACTGAGAAGGTTAGGAAGTACACAAAACAATGGTTTCAATACATTTCAAATACCATTATAGATAATTAATGTTTAAGATTTATTTCTGTATGATCAGTTTGCCAGGTCCTAACCATAGTGCAGTTTGACATTAGAAGTGAGTGCCATAGAATATTTATACCCTTTTCAGTTTATGGTTAACATGATCATACAGTTTTTGGAAAAAAAATCTGCTGATTATGGTCCCAAACTTTTAAAACAATTGCAGCCTTTATATAGTGAAGCCATCACCTTATTCTTTGTCACGTGATTTCCTTTCCTTTATGCGGCTTGAACTCAACTATACATATAAAACATCAGTTAGTATCATCCACTGCATAATCGTGGTTATCTGGACATTTTAGTATCTCGGTAAAGTTGAGCCTCAGCCTCTGTGAACAGCGTCATCATTCTGTCCACTCTCAGCAGAGTAATGAGTTGTTATTCGGCTCACGAGTTTCCTATCAGATTCTTTTCTTTTTCCTTTCCTTGCATGATATCTCCCAGGGAAAAATGTCCCCAAAGGCTTGAACTGGATTGTAGTTGACTGAAGAGGATTTTTATAACTCTCAGGTGTCAAAAAAATTATAGGGTCAAACGAAGATTAAAGGAGACAGGATAAATTGAAACATTTATTATTAGAGTTGTTCAGCTTTCATCAGGGTAAGAAACTCACAAAAATGACAGACATTTGATGAAAACAAATGGAGAGGAGATGATGAATAGGAGGAGACAGCAGATTAAGGAAAGAGGTGGTGTGAAGAAGACAATGTTTGACTGAAAGAATAGTTGTCATTACTGGACTTTGTATGCCAGGATGAGAGGGAACAAGAGCGAGATAGTGATAAGAATGAAATTGAAAAAGAAAAACAGAGAAAAGTCAGTCAGTCAAGCAAGTAATAAAAAGTTTGTGTACGATAGGAACACACTGGTAAGTTCTTGTGTTTTCACTTCCATAGTTCATTTCTATGTCAGAAAGGTACTGAAAATCTTAATAACAACAACTTAAAAGGAAGTAATGCATTTATTTTTCACTCTACACGCCACACTAAGCATATTAAACAGATTTTCTCTTCTCAGAGCTCATTTGTGATCTGTGGCAGAGGCACAAGTGACCACAGCTTACCTCCAGTTGCAGTTTGCCTGAAGAAGTTGGGTAATAAAACATTTATTCCCAGAGTGTATTGAAGTGTACCCTTTAAAACTAAACTTTTTCCTTACAAGAAATGTAATTTGTGTCTTCTTCACAGATTATCAACAGCAATGTTCATCTGAGAGCTATTAACAGTTTTGAGAGCCATTAGAGCTCCACAGATCCCATGTCAGCACAACAGAAGGAGACAAGTTTTGCTTGTGTTGGTATTTTGATCTAGACGATAGAAGAAAAACAAGAGGACATGGAAGTCATATTTAAACCTTCATAACCTTTCTCTCTTCTTTATAGAGGAAGCAAAACACTACATCTCTTGGTTGTGGGTTTGACTGATTTGACAATGTGTTTAGTATGTGAGAGAGTGCACACATGTAAAACTAAGCCTGAATTAATGAGATTTTATCAACATTTCAACAAAACTGGGCAGTCATGACAACTACAAATACAATTGACAAATTGACCTTTTGTGACTAAAAATGTACACCCTTTTTTTCACAAACATGCATTTTTTATGTTTCTCAACCTCAATGACAGGCGTGGTACATAAGCTAGGTCGATATGGTATATTTAGTATTCTGCAATTACACAGACAGACAAAACAAGTGGGATAAGTGTCGGTGTTGAATGATTTAAGTGCAAGAGGAACAAATGAACATTTTGATATAGCTAATGTAGTGCAATCGGAGCTCTGTTCTGTTGCTTTATAGCTCTCTTACTTAACATGCACGACTACCATCTTATTTTCCTCCTTCACTTCTTCATCAATGGGTAAACTGTGTACCACCTTTTGTTGTTTATATCCATTTATGAGTATATGTTTGACAATATTTTCTGTAAGACAAACTTTGATTTGGACTTTTTCAGTGAAGCCTTGTACCTATTATGTCTTTTTGTAAAGCTCGCTCTTTATACTGTACGGGTCTTGTTGTAGATTGGATCTCTTGTAACATAGCTTCAATAAATCTGTAAGAATGTGAGATTTAATATTCTGTGGACGTGCTTCATTAATTTAGGTAAGCTTTAAACAGTTTTAAACATGTATTACAAAAAAAAAGTCTTTAATTTTTTTGCACTATATTAGTGCACTATTTCACTGACTTCAAACAATGTTATTCAGAGGGGACATATTTTGTGCTTGACAGGAAATTCTTATCTTATGTATTTGAAGTGACTCAGAAAAATCTCACAACTCAGGGAAAAAAATCCTCTGGAGAACTTCCCATCCCTTTTGTCCACCAAATTTGGATTTGCATCTCTTCCAATTCTATCAATACTAGCATACTGTATATATGTTAGTATATAGACTTTTTAACCTTTTTATATGTGTTGTGTTCAGCCCAGTGTGCTTAATTTGTCTATTAGTACATAAAGTAGAAAGTTTTTTTTGCAACTCACACAACACAATCAATTCAAATGAAGAACCTCTACATAATGCAAGGATGTTCAGAGGCTAACTCTAACTCCCAAAATACAGTTGTTATGATAAAAGAAGGAAATTCATGGTTGGAAAAGGATCTGTTGTACAGTCTTCTCTGTGCTAGTGAAAAAGAATGTCCCAGACATCGCTCCCAAAATGATGTCATGTCATTAGATAAAGAGCTTAATATATCTCCTTTATTAATAATACTTAATTTCTACTTCACGTCTTGCAGTGGAAAAGTTGAATATAACTATCAAAGTCAGCTGTGTGTGACAAAATGAATTATCAATGCCCATATTGGCAGTAAAAGAGATTTGTATAATTGGTACTTCGCTTTGCACGAATGAAATTAAGACAAAGATGTTGCTACTGATATCTACCAATGAGCATGAAATAAAACGCACTTCCTTTGATGCTGCCTAAATGTGAACTAATAATATATGTTTAATCTATTATGATTAAAGCTCAATTATGCAGACATTTGTCATTAGTCACTTCAGATAAGAATGATATCCTAATCTTCCATAGAAAAAACATTGGGACTCGTCAGTAAGTCTTTGATGTTGTCTTTTGTGACACTCTTAGTCAGCATAACAGAAACCCGATTCTACCATCATGTGGTCGATGCTGTAGGATGGTTCATTTTGAGGCATTTTACTATTCCCTGATGTAGTCTTTACCGTGTGAAACCAATAAGTTGGTTGATATTATTGGTGGGAACTTTATTTATACATTTGTTTTTCATAAAATGATGTCTTTAACTATCCATCCATCCACTTTCTTCTTCCTTAGTATTGAAAATAGTCTAAATAAAATAGAACGGTTCACGGATAGATAGATAGATAGATAGATAGATAGATAGATAGATAGATAGAT